TATTAATTAAATAATAAAATAATTATTAGTTGACTCTGGCGTTGACCGTTGACTTCCGGCGTTAACCGTTGACTTCCGGTAAAAATTTGTTGACTTTCGACGTTGACCGTTGACTTCCGGCATTGACTCTGGCGTTGAACATTGACTTCCGGCGGTTGACCCGTTGACCCCTAATATACATCATATGTATGGAGTAAATATGCATCCAGTACCATGCATTCAATATGAACTAAATATGCATGGGATATGAATTGCACATGCAGTCCTTATGAACTAAATATGCACCAATAATATCAACTAAGTATGCACCAATAATATCAACTAAGTATGCACCTGTTATGAACTAAATATGCATCTGTTATGAACTAAATATGCATCATGAATGAATTAAATATGCAACGAAAAATATGCAATAAAAATGTACATTTTATATAGGTAATTTATGATGCATATTTAGTTAATGTATTATGAATATTTAGGTAATTTATGATGCATATTTAGTTAATACGAAATGCATACTTGTTATATTTAAACTAGTATTCTACCTGTGCATTTGCACAAATGTAAATAAAATATTGTGAGTTATTTGTATGCATATAATGATTAATTATTTTTCTTTCACGTTTTTGCAGCCAAATTTACAATTAAATGATTTGATTTTTTTGTTAAATTGTGTTTATTAGATTGGATGTAACGTATATTTTGGTATGTAATTTTTTTAAAATTATTTATAATTTATTTAGGAGTTTCATATACTTTTTTTTTCCAAAAAAAAATAATTTACATGTAACCACAATAATAATATCTAATCACATTATATGGTAACACATTATATGGTTAACTGTCAGTAATCAAAAGTTCAAAATGATTTTTGTATTTTAAATTGATTTGTGTATTGATTATCTATTAATTAGGTTAAATAAATGAAACGTAACGGTTTTTGGGGGGAAAATGTAAAAGTGCCACCTAGGTATAATTTATGAGGTTTTCTTAAATGTAGAAGAGCTAGTAATTATATATATAGATTAAATATATAATAATATTTATATAATTAATTTATTATGCATATTTACTTAATTCATGATACATATGTAGTTCTTACGAAATGAATATTTAATTCATGAACAGTGCATACCTATTTTATTTGAGATCCAATCATAACAATTTATTTGTGTTATTAATCAATTTAAAATTAAAATTAATTATATAATAAAAATCATTAATTATTATATTTAATTTAATTATATAAAATATATATTTTATTGCATAGTTTCGTTGCATATTTAGTTCATTCCTGATGCATATTTAGTTAGTAAAAATGTGCATATTTAGTACATAAACAGTGCATACATAGTTGATATTGCTGGTGCATATTTAGTTCATAAGGATAACATATATAATTCATTTATGATGAATATTTAGTTCATACTAAGTGCATAGTACTGATGCATATTTGTTTCATACACAATGCATGCTAAGGGTCAACGGTCAATGTTGAAAGTCAACCCCGGAAGTCAACGGTCAACGACGGAAGTCAACGGTCAATGCCGGAAGTCAACGATTTTTGCCGGAAGTCAACAACGGAAGTCAACGATCAACATCGGAAGTCAACGGTCAACGCCGGAGTCAACGGTCAAGGCCGAAGTCAATGGTCAATTGTCAAAATAATATTTAAATAATTAAAATAATAAAATAAAGAAATAAGTCATAAAAATAAAGAATTATTATTTAATTGAAGAGTTAATCTTACCCACACATAATGTACCAATCTAATGGC